AGAACAAGAAACAAGAAAGTGCAATTTCCTGAAAATAGGCCAATTTACAATTTGCTATAGATGAGTGACGTTACAAGTACAATTTAAGTGCTACAATTTGTTAGTCTTTAGTCGAGGTAGAGTCTGAAGAGGTGTGTCTTTAGTTTGCGGCGGAAGATGTGAAGGCTCTCTGCGGTCCTGATGTCTTCAGAGAGCTCGTTCCACCATTTCGGCGCAAGGACAGCCGAAAGAGTCGAGACCTAGTCGAGTGTTTTGCTCTCAGTGAGGGAGGGACGTACAAGGGAGTCAGGACGAGCAGAACAAAGACAAGGGAGTCTTTCGTGGGAGTCAGGACGAGCAGAACAAAGACAAGGGAGTCTTTCGTGGAGTCTTCGGGGCGGCTGAATGCGGCGCCTTCTTCTGCTATTTTTAATAATGTGTTTGACCCCTTTACCCGTGCCTGTTCGAATCTCTTCCCGCAGATACTACAGGCCTCGGGCTAGATCTGCTCTCTATCGTAACCTCTCCTCTCTCACCGATCCCACCCGCTCCACACACGTCCAGCACCTCGTCACAGGAGGTCTCTGGAACTGCCAGTCAGCGACTCGCAAGGCTGACTTCATCTCCGGCTTCGCGATCCAGCAGTCACTCGACTTCCTCGCTCTCACCGAGACCTGGATCACACCTGAGAACACATCCACCCCAGCCGCCCTCTCCTCCGCCTTCTCCTTCAGCCACACTCCCAGGCCCACTGGTAGGGGTGGTGGCACAGGTCTACTCATTTCACCCAAATGGAGCTTTTCTCTCTTCCCTCTACCACCATCCACCCCATTGTCCTTTGAATTCCATGCTGTAACAATCACTCACCAGGTACAATTAACCATCGTTGTCCTCTACCGTCCGCCAGGCTCCTTAGGTCATTTCTTGGAAGAACTGGACATTCTCCTGTCTAATTTCCCCAAAAATGGACCTCCGCTCATCCTCCTGGGTGACTTCAACATCCAGACAGAGAAGTCCTCTGACCTCTTACACCTACTTTCTTCCTTCGCTCTGTCACTCAGTCCCTCTCCTCCTACTCACAAAGCCGGCAATCACCTTGACTACATTTTTACCAGAAACTGCTCTACCACTAACCTCTCTGTAACTCCACTTCATGTGTCTGATCACTTCTTCATCTCTTACTCCCTTCCACTCTATAACTAACAAACCTCCCTCATTGACTAACTCTATACCGGCTCGTCGCAATATTCGCTCCCTCTCTCCCTCCTCGCTGGCATCCTCTGTTCTATCAGCTCTCCCTTCAACTGACTCCTTCTCACTCTTGCATCCGAATGCTGCTGCAGAGACTCTCCTCTCAACTCTTTCCTCCTCTCTAGACTCTCTCTGCCCTCTTACGACACGACGGACTGGCAAATCCCCTCCGGCTCCGTGGCTGTCTCAACCGGTCCGTGCCATGAGAGCCACCATGCGAGCGTCGGAAAGGAGATGGCGTAAATATAAACGACCTGACGACCTGCTTGAATTTCAATCTCTCCTCTCCTCGTTTTCTGCTTCTATCTCTGCTGCCAAAAGCTCTTTCTACCAATCCAGAATCGAATCCTCATTCTCTAACCCCAAAAAACTCTTCTCGATCTTCTCCAATCTCCTCGAACCCCCTACCCCTCCTCCCCCCTCCACCCTTCTTCCGGGAGACTTTGTCAACTACTTCACCAAGAAAATAGCTGACATACGCTCCTCCTTCTCAAACCCACCTCCTACTTCTCGCGTCCCACCGACCTCACCTCTTTCGCCCTCACTTTCCTCTTTCACCGCCCTCTCTCCTAACCAAATTCTTACCCTAGTAACCTCTGCCCGTCCGACCACCTGCCCTCTTGACTCCATTCCATCACATCTTCTACAATCTTGATTGTAGACCTTCTTCTACAAACCTGACCTTCTTCCGTTCCTCACCTGTCTCATCAACAACGCTCTGTTATCTGGCTGTTTTCCCAATTCTCTGAAGGAGGCAAGAGTCAACCCTCTCCTGAAGAAACCCACCCTCAACCCATCTGAAGAAAACAACTACAGACCGGTCTCTCTTCTTCCCTTTTTGTCCAAAACCCTTGAACGTGCTATCTTTAATCAACTCTCCTCTTATCTCCACTGTAACAACCTCCTTGACCCCCACCAGTCAGGTTTCAAGGCAGGCCGTTCCACAGAGACTGCTCTCCTTGCTGTCTCAGAGCAACTCCACACTGCTAGAGCCGCCTCTTTCTCCTCTGTCCTCGTCCTTCTGGACCTCTCTGCTGCATTTGACACGGTCAATCACCAGATCCTTATTTCCTCCCTTCAGGAACTTGGTGTCACAGGCTCTGCTCTCTCCCTTCTCTCGTCCTACCTCGACGGCCGCACTTACCGGGTAACCTGGCGAGGATCTGTGTCGGAACCTTGTCCTCTTACTACTGGAGTTCCTCAGGGTTCCGTGCTGGGTCCCCTCCTGTTTTCGCTTTACACCAACTCTCTTGGCGCTGTCATTCGCTCGCATGGCTTCTCCTACCACAGCTATGCCGATGACACCCAACTAATTCTATCCTTCCCTCACTCGGATCTCTGCCTGTCTGACTGACATCTCTCAGTGGATGTCCGCCCACCATCTGAAAATCAACCCCGACAAGACTGAACTACTTCTCTTTCCCGGAAAAGATTCGCTTACCCAGGACCTGACAGTCAACTTTGGGAACTCCGTACTAACGCCCACTTTGACCGCTAAGAACCTTGGCGTCACACTCGACAGCCAACTCTCCCTGACTCCCAACATCACCGCGATAACGCGATCCTGTAGATACTTGCTCTACAACATCAGGAGAATACGTCCCCTTCTCACTCAGAAGGCAGCGCATGTACTGATTCAGGCTCTTGTCATCTCCCGCCTGGACTACTGCAACTCCCTCCTGGCTGGTCTCCCTGCCACCGCCATTCGACCTCTGCAGCTCATTCAGAATGCAGCAGCTTGACTGGTCTTCAACCTTCCGAAATTCTCCCACACTACTCCACTCCTCCGCTCTCTTCACTGGCTACCGGTGGCTGCCCGCATCCAGTTCAAAACATTGGTGCTCACGTACCATGCTGTGAATGGATGGGGTCCAGCTTACATCCAGGACATGGTCAAACCCTACATCCCAACCCGCACTCTCCGCTCTGCATCTGCAAAACTACTCGTTCCTCCCTCACTGAGAGCAAAACACTCGACTAGGTCTCGACTCTTCGCTGTCCTTGCGCCGAAATGGTGGAACGAGCTCTCTGAAGACATCAGGACCACAGAGAGCCTTCACATCTTCCGCCGCAAACTAAAGACACACCTCTTCAGATTCTACCTCGACTAACAAATTGTAGCACTTAAATTGTACTTGTAACGTCACTCATCTATAGCAAATTGTAAATTGGCTTATTTGAGGAAATTGCACTTTCTTGTTTCTTGTTCTCCTGAGTTTGCACCGTATGGTTGAATGTTCTTATTGTACGTCGCTTTGAATAAAAGCGTCCGCTAAATGACATGTAATGTAATGTAATGTCTTTACAGCGAAACTTGTTACTGTGATGCTGAGTTTGGTGCTGGCGAGGCCTGAGGTGCATGCAGAGCTGCAGTTACCTGCTGCTGCTGCAGCGGTGACGCTGCTAGAGGTCCTGACTGTCGGCGTTAGTATCGATACAATCGATTATGTACCATTTCAATCGATTTGTAATCGATATATGTCGTCCGGAATGCCGATTTGCTGAGCACAGATCGATTCAGTTGGATCGCAGGAATATAAATCGATTAATCGATTCAGTGAAGGAATTCACTGAATTACACATCGTTACCAAACACTCCAGGAAAACTTTGTGGTATCATCCCGCACAAAAATGGGAGGCCTCTTAGTGCCGTCAGAGAGACACAATGTCCGTTGTCTTGGGAGTAATCAGTGGAAAACACAAAGGAATAACAATTAGTACAGTGACATAGTGACAGAAAATCTAAAAGACATGTAAAGCAATGAGGAGGAGTATCATGCTTAAGAGAAAAAAAGGAAAGAAAAAAACTATTTATTTATTTTCTACTTTTACGAATTAAAAGTACTATTTAAAAAAAAAACTGCTCACAATAGCAAATGCTAACACGTTTCTGGGAGCTTTTCCCAGCTTCTGTCCAAAGTTCCACCAACACCAGAGGCATGGATGAAAAGTGTGACTGAGCTGAATGATATGAACTGTTTGGACAAAATAAGAACCAAAGAGCAACAATGTCGTGACAAGTGGGAGAAATGGAAGATGTTCCACACATCAACGACAGGACCGGACAGGAGAAGAGCACATCAAGGTTTTCTCAGGATTTATTCCGTTATTGAGAGGACAGAGCCATCCACACACTTTTTTCTTCTTTTTTTCTATGCGTCCAAGTATGTATTACGTATGTGTTACAAAGGCAAAAATAAAGTTAAAAAAAATGGAAAAATGAAATAAGAAATATGAATTGGAACATAAATACAAAGACAAATAAACGAAAGGAAGACAAAAAAAAGAACAATGCATATTTGTCCATTAACAAAAATAAATGAATTGTAGTATTGTATATTTATGTTATAACATAAATTGTGGAACATTAATTTATTGAGCCTTGTGGGACGGGTTAGCACATCAGCAGTGTGCATTGTGGAGGCTTCCTCTTTTGGAATGAAGGCAATTAAGTCTGTCTTTCATTCAGTTGGCACTGCTCCCTGTCCCACATCTAGAACCTCGTGTGGTGCTGTTGGGCCTTCAGAAGGCACCTTGGCTGCTTGGAGATCCTCTCACAATGACCTTCAGGTTCCATGTTCATTCCTTATTTCCACGCAGTGACACTCAGCCTCTCTGTGCTCCTCGTGGGACCTTTTCATCAGCGCCTAATGTGCACGGGGATAGTGCGTGTGTATGCGCGTGCACAGGCTCCGCCACGAGCTGGTACGCCTTTAAATGTCGGAAGCTGAGCAGAGGGCGGACCCGAGTGGCGCGTGCGTGCGCGCGTGCGTGTGTGCGCCTCTTGTCGGCAGTCTCGTGAGTCGCACGGATCTAACAGCCGCCTTTGTGCGCGTGAAGCACCGTGGTCGACGCACCTGTGAGGAGCGAGTTCACGTGAGCGGATCTTAAACTGGAGCTCAGCAGTCGGATGCGCAACTAAGGTCAGTAGCGGGGGCCGCTGGTCCTGCTTCTGTAAATGGAGTGAAACGGGAACAAATATGAAGCAAAACGGCATTTGTTCTACTCCTGACGCGCAGATATCACGGAACTTCCACAGGACTTTCCTGTTTGTGCCAAATGGAACTGTGAACATGGCGCAGCTGGGGCCGGTGTGCGTCTCCCCGATGGAAAAGCCGCTTTTGGGGGATTCAAAAATGGAATATCTGCAATATTTGGCCTCTAAATGTCGTTCCTACGGGGAACGAAAGAGGAACCGTGGCAGGCGGGTTTAGACTTACACACGTCCTGTTTGTCTCTGAAGGATCCATTTGATTGGATTATCATTGTATTAGATGTCACCGTGCTATTTTATATAATAGGAAGAGGAGCAAGTCTGCAAAAAAAGACTTAAACCACGATCGCCTTGTTTTTAGGGATGATGAATAATAAATAGCATGAACGCCAAGTATCGAGTGTCCGCGCATTGTTCGCGTCTGCAGCTTCGTGTTCAAATGTCAGACAAGTGCACGCTCACGCGCAGCAAAAGCGGCTCGCACACTGTAAACAGGGCTGCGTATTTGGGGGGAATATGAGCAGTAGGACATGCCTTTTGATGCATGACCTTCTGTGTGAATGCAGACGCACAGCGCGCAGTAGCAGTGCTCGTGTCCGCGCCATGGAGGCGGATGAGCGGCACATTCCTCCATTATCCCGCTCAGGTGGGTGGATTCCAAAATTCAGCTGCAGAGTCGAACGTCTGGTTCATGTTTTCAACATTTTAAAAACCATCAAACTAAAACCTTTTTAGGCGTGAATTAAAACAGATGCTGCTTTACTGTGAAAATGGCCTCGAAATGTAACCGGACCGCAGCCTCTTCTAGAAGGTGTCATTCGATGATTGAGTTTGGGGATTTTGTTCGGAAAACGGAATTATGAAGCTTTCGATTATGTCAGTTCCCTGGTGGATCGAATAGCGCTGCAGGGCCCGGGGGGTCAAATGGGACCGTTCTTCCTCCAATAACTGCATTCTTATGCTGCGTCTCCATCCATCCGCATTTTAAAGCCAGCGGGCCTCAAACGGATTGGGGATTATTTTTTTGTAGGCCTCACTGCGACGAACGTTCAGCAGAACACAGTGAGCGCGAGGCCTCGTGCGGCGCCGCGGCGCATCCGCGAGCCTCCGATGCACGAGCCGTTACGTGTCCGGGCCTCCGCGCGCCCAGCGCCGCTCACCTGAATGACACGCGCGCCGTGTGTGTGACGGTCCCGCTTCTTAATATTACCACCAGAACACGTTCGAGGGCTTTTGTTTTAAGAGTTCGTAGAATAAGAGCAAAGGCGTTTCTTCATCCCTAATCTGGCTGCACAGCGCGCGCGCGCGCGACACACCCAGAGGACGCGTGTCGTCCCCCTGCGGAGGGCCGGATGCTCCATCACCTGTTCGGACGTTCGGATTAGAGCCAAAGACGCGTCCGCAGCACCTTTCTGCTTCTAGCAGGTAATCGGGTTTATTATTTCTCCGCTCCGCTTTATTTCTGCAGCATTACTCGGAATTTAAATTTAAATGCATCCAACTGCACTCAATATGATTACTGACGCCCATTCAGCTAAAAAAGATTATTGTATTTTTTGCCAAATACTTGTATTTTTTCCAGTGGGATGTCTGACAAGGATGGGATTTTTTACTGAACCCTGTCCCAATTCATGCCCCCCCTCGTCCGGTTACGGTGTTTGGGGTAATTTGGCTGTTTTGGTTGGCAGCCGATGAAGTGCGCAGGAAGCCGAGTGGTCGCTCTGTCACTCAATGCGCTTTTCTTTAATAAGCTCGTGTTTCTACGGGTCTCTCTTCCTGTCGTTGTGCATTTCGTTATTTCGTCCGTGACACTCGTCATGCGATCTCTTCTGTCACTGTGTCCAAGTATGAAGGAAACGACTCGCGTGTAAATATCTCGGATCATTGCATGTCTGAGTGCGTTGAACAAATATAAAAAGCCCAATGAGTCAGAATTAAAAGTTGCTGGTGTTGTACTGGGCCGACAGACAGCTGGATGGTTGTGTAACGCAGTCATTGTGTGTGGACCACTTTGCGCGTGCATGGGGGTGTGTGTCGGGTGGTGGGCTGCTCTCTAGCTGGGTGATGTAATGCCATGAAGGGTGCTGCAGCAGAACCAGGAGCCCACAGAAGGCGTGTCCTGCTTGCAGAGGAGCTGAAAAACAACATGGTGCCCGCAAACCTCACCCCAAAACACGGCCAGCCTTCCGCTTCCACCCGACCCGACATCCACAGATCTGTGTTTGTCTTCTTAAAATGACACTGCATACCAACAAGGGGTCAATACAAACAGCTATAGTCATTATAACTAACCAAAGGATGCCGCCCTGATTTTAAATGAGGATTTACATTCTTTCTGTTCTCTGTCTTGCTTTGCTGTTCCTCTTATGAATGAAAGACCTTGTCTTTATAAATCCATTGCTTGTAGCTGCTGAGGTGGTTTGTAGTGTGCTGTTCACAAGGCCATTGCAAACTTTGCTCCATTTCTGGATAATCTGTATCCATTGTATTACATTATTATTATGTCTTTATATAATAGAAAATGACACAGGCCTTGCGTTGTAATATTATCCACGTTCCCTACCAGCCCAACATGGTGGGTCAAAGCCATTCTGGTTACACACAAAGACTCGGGATGGAGAGAGAAGAGGAAGAGCAAAGTCAGGGCGTTTCACGCGACGCATGAGTGGGAGTAGATGAGGTGGAACATCACTCCCTCCCTGCGTTTCCACTGATCCTGCCCCCCCCCCCCCCCCCTCCAATGGCATTGTACATGTCCGGGGCACACGTATCCCGGTAGCAACAAAGACAATGTCACCTCTATTTGGAAACGTAAACTGCACCCGCAGACTCACACCGAGCTGTTCCAGCAAATCAGGAACACTGCTGTCCCTTTCAGATGTTATCGGCGAGCCGTGGAGGACATTTTGTCACTGCGTCTTCCTGCGCCTGTGTTTGTGTGAGACTAGTGTGCGATCAGGGCACCTGCCTTAAAACGACTGGCAAGTGGCACCCATTTAAATGCGCGGGGCTGCCGGCGGGCTGCTTTTATTTGCACTTACACACACACGCCCTCCATCCAGTCCGTGTGGTTGTTAATAAGATCCAGAGTGCTGCTGCCTTTTGTCAGTGTGTGTATGTGTACTCGTCCCTGTGGGGTTCGTCAAAGGAGCCTTTCACAGAGAACAATGATCCGTGCCGTTTAGCCTTTTAACCCCTGACGGTCCCCACACAGCAACAAAAGACACACACACACAGATAATGTCATCATTTGTATTAATCTGAAGTGGGAATGCAGAGTCGGAAAAGAGCTTGTTTGTATGATTCATATTGAAAAGTGTAATGCAAAATATATTTAAGCTCAAACAAAATAAATGTAAAATTAAACATTAATACAGCTGTGCTGATGTTAGTTTTTAAAGGCCAAAGTATGTATTATTTTGGACGGAAAGCTGACATTTTGCAATTTTCTGGCATTAAAATTAAGCAAAGTTATAAAATAGAAAGTACATTAAAACATTGTTGAACAGAATAGCAACCTATTTTTAGTTTTTGTAAATACTGCAATTTCCTAGTTTAAGCGGCAGCCATTTTATGTTTAAAAAAGGAATAAAAAATTAGCCAAGTATAAAAATATATTTATGTATTGCTTAAGACGTACAGAATAAAATATGAACATGCCCGTTTATCTCAGTGTGTGTAGAGCCAAGCCAGAGAAAATAACAGACAACAGCTCAGAATACAAAAATGTACTTTTTCAAATTATTTGTTTTTGGAGGATACATTTGTAATATTTAAGATACAAGTTCCTATTAGGCCAATATTTAGTTTTCTTTTTTTAAGAATGTATACATAATCAATTACAATAAAAATAGACAGCGAAACAATGGTCTATTCCAAAGTCAGTTTATATTGATACATAATCTTACTAATAGATGTAATGTAATGTAATGTAATGTAGATAGTAGGGCTCTTTTATATTCATATTATTATTATATTGATACATAATCTTACTAATAGATAGTAGGGCTCTTTTATATTCATATTATTATTATATTGATACATAATCTTACTAATAGATAGTAGGGCTCTTTTATATTATTCATATTATTATTATAATGATACATAATCTTACTAATAGATAGTAGGGCTCTTTTATATTATTCATATTATTATTATAATGATACATAATCTTACTAATAGATAGTAGGGCTCTTTTATATTATTCATATTATTATTATTATATTAGTATTATTGTTATCATTATTATGAGATAATAATGAAGTAATACCACGCGTGTTGGGTGGACAAAATGTATCATACCTTTTAAAATAAAAAGCTTTAATAAATGTAATTCAATACATTGATGAGTCATTATGTCAGTGTTGCTAAAAGACTCTTCAAAACGTATAGGCCAGAAATGTTTCCTACAAAGAGGGATTGTATGGCAGCATGTTAAAAACTTGACGGATGGTTTCGAATGACCACTGAGGTATGATCCAAATAATGGGGGTTGTTGTGTTTTTAGCTCTCTATGATGGAGCATCGAGCAGATTGGCGAAATGAGCAGGAATGAGGTACAATTTAACTATGTCCTGCATAGTGTTGTCACGATACCAAAATTATGACTTCGATACTATACCTGCCAAAGTATTACGGTACCCAATACTTAGGATACTGGAATATTTATCTATGATAGTAATAAATAAAACATCTGTACGGTACCCTTTTTACCTGGCATCTGTTTGACTGTCTGTGGGATAAACAATGCCTCATTTACTTGCATATAGAGTTTGATATTCTCACATTCAGATTTCCTTAACTAAAAATGAAAAGAATTAGGGGAAGTTCGACCAGCATGTAGCCTTTTGCATCAAGTCATTCTGACCATGAGTGACCACATGAGTGAAATTGTACTGTCTTGTGTCGCTACATGGTTGTCAACTCTCA